CCACTGTATTTCTTTTACTCATTTACGCAGTGTTAAGTTGTGTAATAGACCAATTTCCACTGTATTTCTTTTACTCATTTACGCAGTGTTAAGTTAGCCTTGATTTTAAATTTTTATTTAATTTTTTGACATAAAATTTCCAAAACAAATCAAAATTGTATTTTACCTTTTATTTGATAATTATTCAGCATTGCCTCTTTACATAAGTATTACTAATGGCCAGCTAAATTGACCTTCAGAACAAACTCAAGGTCAACTGATCAGAATTGAGGATTCGAAATAATATTTTGATTAGCATTTACTATTATTTTGTACGCCTCTTACTGACATGACGATGAAGAAGTACAGAAGAAACAAAGAATTATGAGCCATTATAAAAATTAATGTTTATTCCTTAGAAATTGCTATCTTAAAGCTAACCAAAAATAATTGACCCACAAATTATTCCTTTTGGGGAACAAGATCAACTCAGCTGGAGTGAAGCTAAGTCCTAAAGGAGGGAGGGACCTGTTAAAAAAATTAAGGTTTTTGAGGAGAAATCTTCATCCCTCCCCTCAGCATATTAAATGAACTTTCCCTAATCTATGGGGGAGGGGGTGCTCCCCATTAATGAATCTCCCCTTCCCTCCCAAGAACACATATAACAATTGAATTACCCATAGAAAAAGGGTAACAGGTACAAAACCTGCATATGTCCCATCACCATCATTCATGCTTGATTATTTTTCCCATGAAAATAAATTCTTCATAAAGTTATCTAGCATGATGGTAATAGGTCATTTACTACCGCTACCAGAATCTCTTGCAATTTTCCTTCCCTTCAGTTAATTAGCACCAATTGTCTTACTATTCTCTTGAGAGAATATGAATTTAAATAAGAACATTTGCAAAGCATTTTGGTAGTAGTAATAAAATGACGCCATCATGCTAACAACCTATTGTGTGCTTTATGACTGCTGGTTGACACTTGTTACACTTTGACAGTCAGCCAAAATAATGTTGGCTGATCATTGGCTGTACTTCTTCCTACAGCAAGTCTCAAAAAAGCTTTAGACTGTTGGCTTATGCATGGCAAAACATTGGTCCTGCATAAGGCTGCATTCATAATGTATGGCAGAGTGGGGGGTGGGTAGGTGAAACTTAGGGGGGATGGGAAAAATTTTTACCAGTAAAATTGGGGGTTTGAAAATGTTTTTCAGAGAATTGGGGGGGGATGCAAAATGTTTAGAAGAAGCTACAAGAGATTGCCCGGGGGGAATAGTTATTTTTTGGGGGACTT